AGTTTTACTTCCTCTCAAAGGTCAAAATAAAAGCCTGAGTGTTAAATTTGAAACACTTTTCTTTACACTTATCAACTCAGAGCCAAATGGCCGGTGTCCATGGTACCCGCGATACAGGATTTCCTTAGTGTGCGGCTATGTGTGTGTGTTTTTTTTAAAGCTTTCTTCCGACAAGTGGCAACTTTGCAGATTTGGCCTTATTACACCTAAGGTGCGATGTTTATCTATATTTGTAACATACTCAATTTGATTCAGATGAATGATCTGTGAAATAGGGCGTCGTAAATTCTCCATTACATCCTGTATAAACAACGAAACAGTTACCTCAGCTATCATCATCATCATCAATCTATTTATGTTCCTCTGTTGAACACCGGTCTCCTTTGAGGACTATTTAGGTCAAAGTTTAAAGTTTCAAAGACTCACCTAAGATAACCCAGGTTTCATCACGCTATTTTTCTTCACCTTTAAAGCACGTAACAGCAAACGAACCTGCACGTTATCAAAAAGTACTTAATAGAATCGAACCCTGGACCTTTTACTTAGGAGGCAAACTCAGTTAAACTCTTTTCTCCAAGCTATGCTCTCTTTTCTATTTATATCATGTAGTAGTAAGTTATTACCATATCGATCGGAGTGGAATTAATATACTTACCTCAACTTCAAGGAAGTAATACGCATAGAGTATTATTATACCTCTCTAAAATCCCGGAATTATTGTATTGTATTTTGTTTAAAATTTGACAACAGTAAGTACCTAGCAATTAAGAACCGTTTACACGAGACCAATCGACGAGCCATTCCATTAAGCCATACCATAATTGGCGTCGTGTAAATGAGACAATAAATTATGGTGAGTCTCCAGACCAGACATAAAGACAATCCACTAAATTAGAACGATTTCTAATTTTGCGGGTCAATACCTTCCCCACCACACGTGTATTGAATTGACTCATGTAATGGCCTTGTGATAACGTGCATCATGAGACACTCCACTTGTTTGTCTTGCCGTTAGTAAAGAATCTTAAGAATCTTAAGTGGACGTTGCGAATTTTGCACTCTTCACTATACTGAATTAATGGCTTGGGTTTGTAGAATGAGTCGTCAATTGGAGTCAAATGAGTTGTAAATGGGCCATTACGGTAAAGAAAAGGTATGTAATTGCAATATTTCTTTAATTGGATTTATGCATTATTGAAACAAAGATCAAATAACAAAGAAAAACGCCTTCGATCTGGCTGGACACGAACCAGCGTCTGTTGCCACACCGGGGCTACCGCTCTTACTAGTCGGGCTATAGACCGATTCAGCGGATCTTGCGAATTTCTCTATGCGTTTGTTGCAGACCTTTGTATTGAGTTTAAAAGGCTTTATTTTACGTATGGAATTGTAATTACATTTTTTTATCTTTCCGGGATTTTATTAGTAATAAGTAGAGGTGCTGGTGAAATTACAGGCACGTGGGACTTGTCAACTTGTGTCTTAGGGTGACGAGCGCGGTGGCGGTGCCCCGAAGATCTTTGAGATTTAAAGTTCACTGCAACTGTTATAGATAGGCCTGTCGCTTACCACCTGCCACACGACTTGTTCGTCGCGTCAATTGGTATTATAAAAAAAATAGAAAGGATGTAGGTATTAACCACTCTATGTGTATCACTCGAAGTTTAGGTACATATACTCTGCCTTTAACGATCTCAGATTGTTAGTTATCTTTGGTAACCTATATTTATATTGCACCTGTTAGATTAATTTCTTTTCTCGAACATCACTAGCTATTGTAAAATATATTATATTGTAGATTGAAATTTTTCCCCAGCATCTTAGATGTAATTTTCTGTAGTAAGTAGTTTATATTTTTTTACTTGTATTTTTACGATATAGTGAGCCAATTCGTGTGGCACAACCTTTTTATTAAAACATCAAAGAAGGAAATATCGAAGGGCGGTTAAGGTAAGGGAGGATAAAAGGGGAGGTAAATATGGTGTCGCAAAAGAAGTTTTCAGGAAACAAATTATTACACTGCCGTCAAGTGACTGGTTAATTCACAGGTTAGCGTTCTGTACCTAATTTCGGTGGTGTTTTTTATTATTTCAATATATTAGAATATTTTCATGAATAAATAAATATTAATATTTGAGTTTAGTATCCTGAAATATTATTTATTATTTCACTATAATATTTTAGAATACATAAATAATAAAAATTGCGGCCGCAATTAAAAGGTAGAAAAAACTGACCTGAAAATTACCCGATGTCAAAATTATATTGAGTTAGTCATCAATTTCCTACAGTGTGTGTACTATTGTGAGTTTATAAAAGCTCATTCTATACAATGTAATTATAGTATATAATTGAACGTTATTTGTGGCGAAAAACACACTGTAATCTGTGTTAATATGAGCATGACTACGTTCCAGTTTTGAAGGATAAGAGCGCTGGTGAAATTACAGGCACTTGGGACTTGTGATATCGTCCGTCCATGATGTATGGATGGAATAAAAGGTACAAAAAATAGATTTTTGTTTCTTGTACAAACTAGTTGTCATTTTTGTTATTTAAGGACGAGGTAAAGACGAGGTTCTTGTCGGTGGAGTAATTACAGACACATGGAACTTGTCACCTTATGTTTCAGGGTGACGGGCGCATTGACAGTGCACCTCGATCTTTGTGATTTGTGTTCTGAGTGGCACTGCAATTGTTATAGAAAGGCGTGTCACTTACCAGTAGGCGTACGACTTGCTCGTCCCGTCCCTGGGTATCATAAAAAAAGTAAACTACATGGCTAGTATTTTTTCATGGAGTTAATTTTACTACACTTCCTCCCCACAAAATTAATAAAATAAGTAACACAAACCGTATAAGTTTCACACACTTAGTAAGTAAGTTTGTGTTATTAACCAAATACTTACATTTTATTGTTAAATATCTGTGTGTAACTCAGCAACGGAGTTCTATGGAGTAAAATTTAAATAAAAAAAATGCACCCACCTGAGCAAAAAGAACAATTAAAATACAATAAAAAATGTAAAATATTAAAGATTTCAACACGCCTCTTAGTTTTCATTGCTTTTAAAATCTGTTATTTGAGATTATTTAAAATTTTGCAAGCGACCCGAATTCGTTGCATGCAAGAGTATATATTATATCTATTGAAATTAAAAAATACTAATATTCACCACAACTGAAACGCCGGGATAATGGGTGTGTTTTGTTTTCATTTTTTTATAAAAAAATACGTGTTCATTTTACTTCCATTTCAAGTAGTGGAAAATGATAATGAAGTCGACAATAGAGCATGCACATACACCTAAATAATGCCTATTCACTTTTGCCTTGAAAAGGCCAAAGTTATTCCGTTCCGAATTCCAAGTTCATGGTATGGAAAGGGGAAGGCTGAATTAAGTCGTGTAATTTCCTAGCACAGTCTCCGTGATATATCCTGTACAATACCGATAAACAGGCAACATTACGGCTGTGTTCAAGGCTCTGTAGCTTAAACCTCTGGCCACGTTTTGCAACTGAATTCAAGGTAGCCAGGTCGTGTTTAGCAGAACCATCCCATAGGTGGCAGCAGAACTCCGTACACGACCGGTGTAAAAATACTTATTAAATAAAATAGTTTATATTCTGAAACTGTCACCGTACATCTTCAAGTATAATGACGTCACGAGCCTATAATAATTGTTCAGAAAAAAAAACTACAAACATTCCTTCCAAATTACTCGCAACTATATTTCTATTTATATCCAAAACGGGAAAAAAATACCTAACATTTACAATGGAAATAACTCTTTTTCAATAACCCTGTTAAGGCGAATAAGGGACAAAGGTCGACAAAGAACTTTTGATATATCACGAGCCCCTTCAAATGGACAGTAACGGTCATATCAGATTTCTCGAATATTCTCGCAAAATTGAATACGTGTGAGAATCGACATAAGAGAACCGAAAGATTGGCTGATCTGGAAACAATGTTTAGACTATGATTTACTTGACGTTGATTTGACTCCCATGGCCTAAAGATTAATTTAAAATTTTTAAATAGTAGACCACTCATAATAAAGCGTGAAATACACAAAGAGCGGATGTGAGACGGGCGCACGAGCCCGCGCTCCTTGTTTTTATGAAGGATATTTTGCAGTTGGCCGCTGATGGCCTTGACTGCGCCACCGGATTAAAGGGCGAGCTGAAGGCTCATAACCCGTAAATAATCTAAGTGGCGGGCCCAAGTGGGCACGGCCCTTGGCTCAGGTCTCTACTGGACACTTCCGCCGGAAGGGCGTGCTATAGGGGAGAATCTACCAGTGTACGTGCTGAGATAAGGGGCTCTACGACCTCGCCGGCGAGGACGGTTGGTGCGTGATGAGATGGACTGATTAACGATCTGGTTGGTCTTCAAAGTGGCGAGATTGATAGGATCGTCAGGGTCGTTGAGGACTTCCCTTGGCCAACGGGTCCTACGTACGTGATGGTATCGGCGCGGGGGCGCGTGGAGCGTTCGCGATAGGTCGTTGCGAAGGAGGCGCTGGCTGTGGTTTTGCCTTGGCGGGCCGTGGCGGTGATGGGGTTAGCCTGCTTCGGAGCGGCGGGTGCAAGGGCGTTGGCGCGAGGGATTACCCACGGCGATTGTGGCGATAGTCCCTATGAGAGCAGGGCTGATGGTCGGGAAGTCGCGGATGGACATAAGGGGCTGCGGTTGTGCCCTAGCCTGCTGATGGGTCGCAGTGCGCGCCGCCACCTTGTGGTTAGGGCAGGGGGCCTTAGCACAGCCGCGATAGTTCGCGGTTTGGGACTCCCCGCACAGAACACAGCGAGGAGGCTCGGTGCACTGGGACCTATCTTTAGGCCTAGGGCAAGCTGAGGTCGTGTGGTTGTCTGCGCATTTTACGCAGCGGGGTTGCGAAGCGGCAATTACGGGCCGCGTGACCGTACAGTTGACAGTTGTGGCACTGCCCGGGCATGCCACGTTTTCGCGGAGGCTCAACGGTTAAGCCGTTAAGTTAAGTTAAGTTAAGTAGGCAGCAGGTAGTCAGATCGAAGACCTTCTTACCTTCGGGTGTAAGGGGGAGGACGGCGAGCATCACGTCGTATGGTTCGCGGGAACAGCTTTTGTACATTCGGTGAACCTCATGTACGGGGAGGTTTTTAGATTTGAGGTCCGCGGTGATGACCTCTGTGTCTAGCTCCTTCGGGAGCCCGCGGATGACAACGCGGAGTACGCGTTCCTCGGGGAGCGCGTAAGTTTAGTAATCTACACTCATATCATTAAACAGTCGGGTGAGGTGGCGGTGGTCCGACGATAATTGGACCTTAACGTTGATGCCAAGCTCGGACGCCTTGGCTTTGGGGAAATTTAATTTAAGTTGGTTACATCGGTTAGATATTTCACTCCAACGGGCCTTTGAGCAGATGACCATTAGCGGCGGGGCTGGTTCAGGGACTTTGGTTGTCGGCGCGGGTGCGGTAGGCTGCTTGGAAGCGCGGGGGGAGAGGAGTCTGTCCTGCGCGGAGGACGGGTGGGAGCTTGCCTCTTGGGCTTTTATTGCCTTAGGGGCAGGGGAGTCTGATTCTTTGGCAGCGCGGCAGCGCTTGCCGTTTTTACCCTTGACTAGGGTGTGGTCACAGGAATCGTCGGAGTCGGTGGTCGGTGCGTCAGATTCTTCAGACGACTGAGGCATAATGTCCATCTCTTGAAATAAAATAAATAAATATAAAACTTACACACAATCTATGAAACTTAGAGTCGGCGTTCTGAAAAGAAACCACGACTAGGTAAGCTGGAAGGGGAGAAACAGAATTAGTAAATGTCGATAAAACAAATACGGAAAGTAAAATAAGTAAAGAAATACTTAGTAACGGAGCACCGGGCCGCCGTTCTGAAAAGAACACGTGCGACCAGGTGAGCGCAGGTAGGCCGCGGCAGCGGCAGGACGGACGAACGAGGCACGACCGGGCGAGCGGAGCAGGTACCTGGAACACAACCGACTGGGATGAGTGATAGTGATCGAGTGACTGCTCGCGCCCGCACTCGGTGTGTTGTCGTTCATATAAATACACGGAATTAGACCCGCCGCGCTCCCGACACACGCCCGACCCGAGCCCGCTCTCTGTATGTTTTATTTAAATTTTACCATACCTATTAAATTTATAAAAATAGTTTGGTTTTTGTCAGACAATAATGTATTTATATACATACCAGTGGTGTGGCGTGAAAATGTTGCTTGGTAAAGCCAAAGCTTTAACTTTTTGAAAAAACACTAACAAAAATTTCTGTTCCCGCCCCGTTAAAAAGTTGCCCCTTGGTGACATTTAACACAAAACTTATTAGTACACAAGATACTAGTTCACTTCATTCACAGATTAACTTATTCTATACATAAAATAAACATAGCTTTTAAAGTAATTTTACATTTTAAGCTGCCAATCGCGATACGAAAGTTTGTAAACAAACTCATGAATGCTAAGTGTTGCTATTTTAATTACCTACAAATTACCATGACCTTTTACATACATTCGTTACGTAGTCCTATTAGAAAGAAACACCCAATTAAATATAGATACATATGTGGCACTATTTATCGTTAAGATTTGCAAAATAGAAATTAACCACATTTTGTATTAATTTGCTATTATAATAATTTAGTTACATTATTTTAAGAAAGTTTTACATCTGGCAACGATTTTGACATTAAAAACAAACTAAATTATAATTTCTTGGAATAAAGTTTCAATTTAAGTGAACACTATTCGATAATGACATTAATTATTCCGGTTTCTCGGCCGCCATTTCTTTAGATGTTATAGAGCGGATTTTTGCAAATGGGTGCGTTTTGATGGGAGCGCGTAGATTTCATGAATGAAATTACCTCGCGCTATTTGGTTAAGATGCATTGGGACAAGTTAATTTTCAATAAATGTTTTTAAGTGGTGTGGTATGCGCGCTACCCCTGGTAATAGGTACGCGGAAAATTAGGCAGTCCTGTGGGAATCAAGTTATATGGACGCCTCGCCACTGATACATACTTACATATTTGACAAAAAAAATCAATAAATTAATTGGCTAATAACACAAACTTACTTATTAAGTGTATAAACTTATATTGTTTGTGTGACTTAATGAGACCTGTTTGGAACTCCTTAATGGGTGGTGACAGAGTCGACTATTGCATGCTAAGGTAGCGGCAATTGATGTAGTCCAGATTCCGTGTATCATTTGTAGTTTGGTATAAAATTTTTAACTGGAATTTCTATATACAATAGTGTATAATTGCGGTGAGTGAGGTGCTTTCTTAATTATATTTTATTTTTATTTAATTAGAAACTGCTTATTGCGGTGTCTACAGCGACAAATATACTTCACTTCTAGTTCTGCATTATATACAAGGCGAAGCCTGAAAACCAGCAAATTGCTGAGGTTGTTACTTTTTCTTCAACAGCTGTTGTTTTTTTTTTTCATTTATTTTAAGCATCTATTTTAATTTTTTTTATGTGTCGTTGTAGTGTTGAAGAATAAAGTCCTTTTTATTTATTTTAGTTATCACGGTTTTTTGATATTTGTATGCAATGGTTGCTGGAAGGTCCAGCTTGCTAAGCGGTTCAATCTAATTATTATTCTTATTATATGCCGTTATAAATACATGCATTGAAATTCGAACGCGATGTGATATACTCCAGAACACTCACAGGCAGTAAATTTGGGTCACCTGAAAATTATTTAAACAAAGGAAAACTGAGAGGTAAAGCAAATTAGACTAATTAAAAAAGAAAATGTTTTTGCGTTTTTGTAAAGCTTTATGAAAGTAGACTTATTTGAGGCGACAATAATTTATTTACAACGTTACAATTATATTAATTCACAATCTAGCTCCATTATTCCTTTATATTAAATTCACAATTCTAACAATAACCTATCTATCACAATTCTATTTTTAGAAGTAGTAGAGCTCCTTGTGAAAGAGTTCGTCCAGGGAAATACTGCCACCTTACCTATGTCTGCCGCCAAGCAGTAATGTCAGCATTACTGTGATCCGGTTTTGAAGGGCAAGTGTGCTGGTGAAATTACAGGCACATTGGGCTCGTCAACTTATGTCTCAGGATGACGGGCGCAGTGGCAGTGCCCCTCAAATCTTTGCGATTTAAAGCTCTGAGTGGCACTGCAACTGTTATGGACAGGCGTGTAGCTTAGCACTGCCAGAGCTTGTACACGTGTGCTCTATGGACCAACTTTACTGAGATCGTACAGTGCCTTGCGAATCCAATATAAAAACACCTTCAGCACCCCAGTTTCTGCAGTGCATCTGGAATGTCCGCAGATGCTGCTGTGGACGATGTCTATGCTATCGTACTTAAAATGTCCACATCATTAGTACGAACTGACGATGACAGCAGACAGGATGGATGCAGCACTGTTCCGGCGGATCACTGAGTTACATATTTTAAGTTGTTGTAGGTCAGTGAGCCGCCTTGGGGCTGGAATCATCCTGTTTAATGTTAATATAATAATATGTAATATGTCAGCATGTAGAGTGACTGTACCGTACTAACATATTTATAAGTGTGTTGTTACTTACTTACTAACTTGTATGGACTGTATTGTCTGAAAACAAATGATTTTTATTATATTTATTATTAAGATCTCAAATACACATTTTTATTCGTTTTAGGGCAATTGTTAATACACTGGTTTCCAAAACATAACAGAAATATTTATTAAAAGAAACTGAAATAAAATCAAGTAACAATGTTTTTTTTTTAAAAAACGCTTTTCTTGGTAGAAACAATAGTAGTGCACATAGATAAATCAAAATGATAACGAAAAATTTTTTCAAAATTTCGAAGATGCGAAATTTCGGAAATTCAGAATGCATGCCACAACAAATGTTTTTGCAAATAGAAATTAAATTATTGCCGCACTGAGATGGAAATTGATGACAGAAAATATGTACGACAGCCATAACAGCCTTCTAAATGTATATGACTGGTGGAATTTTTAAAAATGGAATTCAATGTTTTGATATAATTATTATTAGATAAGACATCGTATTTTGTTTGTTTCAGACGATGAATTCGGTGAGAAGTCTGTGTCGGTTCTCTTAGATGGGGAGGAGTCCGAGCTGATATTCATTGATCATCCCAGCACGGAGATGTCGGTAAGCAATATAATATTATAGGGAATTCTAATATCAAATTATTTCCGTGGTAACTGTCGAGTTCTTAGGTTTCCGCGATTGTTATACATTGGAAATGAAACTAGATTTTTCGGATCCAACTCGTGTATATTCAGCGAGCTGTATCTGTACCGTGATAGATACAGTAAGCGCATTTGCGCACTCGTCTGATTTGTATCGAGAAATGACGGTAAGAAATGTCACTGGGATCATTTTATCTCTAGGCGTACAAGCGATATTCGTAGTTTCTCGGATTGAAATCGGACTTAGTGCACAAGCATCAGAAGTGGGTCCGAGTTTTCTAGATTCGTATAGTCTCGCATTAACGCGCTAACGAGGTTCTAGTGTGTACGCGTGAAACAGCCTTCATTCGCTAGAATGAGTACCTGGTTTTCGTCGGCTCACTGCGAACGGCAGGCGTTCCGCTCGCGACAAGCTCGCGAACCACGTACACACACTTGTGTTCCATGATTTTTAATATTTAACTGCCACCGTGGCCGAACGATTAGCATGCCGCTCAGAGGCATGTCCATGGCACCCGCGACACAGAGGAAACGCTGTGGGTGTCATGGATACACACATTCAACATAGTGTGTGCGTTAAAAAAAATCACCAGATTTTACTTTCGTGCAAAAATAACTTTATTTAAATAGATCACTCTAAACAGTCACAACTCTGTGTTGTATGATGCAAAACATAGAGCCGTCGGGGATGATACTTGCATATTTGAACTTTACAACCTTACTACCAAATCAGGGCTAAAAAGTGTCAGATAGTAGAATAAAAACTTGAAAGTTTTATTTTTCCTAAATTTATTATATTTTGTAAAAAGTCATGGAAAAAAATTTGTTGTTTATGATGTTAGTAATATAGTCCTGCGAGGTTGTTAGTATTTTACAAATAACTTGAATATTTTTTCAAACAAACCAATGTTTCGGGCAATTTACAGGTTTTGGCAAATCCTTTTGCAAACATGTCCCACAGTTTATCACTAGAGCTTACTTACGGTCGACAATAATATAATGTACGCCATCGATACGACGTGATTATGGGACCGAAACAATACATTTTCGATATTGCCTGTGCCAAAAAAAATAATTATGGATTCATTAATAACAGCTTTATATTTCTTTTCCGAGCCGTGGTGGACTAATGATTTTACCTACTGCCTCTTAAGCAAAGGCCGTGGGTTGGAATCTTCACTTCTGAGTTTTTCGGAATTTATGTGTGAAATTTTAGTTTTAGTCAAATTTATCATGAGCTTTTCGGTGGAGAAAAACATCGCTGTGAAAAAAACTTGTGACGTTTCCAACCTTCATTGAACAAGCGTGGCGGACTATGGCCTTTACCCTCGCCGGAGAAGAGATCAGTACCCGGCAGTGGGGCCTATAAAAGGGTTGATGTTGATGTTATATTAATACTAAGAAATAAATGAATGTATCTGTTCTTCAAAAGGACTTGTTCGTGTCATCAAAATTATTTATCATGGATGATTTTATATTTATACTGTAGATAAATTGTAATTTTTTTTATGAAAAAAAAAATGACCTCAAAATTTGTGGTATTAGATTTACTTATTTGCCAAGTTTTATTGCAATCGGTTATCGGAAAGTGCGCGAAACCGGATTCATCTAGTTTGCCACCCTTAAAACATTTTCTTCAAATTTAAATGCCAGTACCCTCTTTCTAACAAAAAAATATTATAATAAAATATTGAATTAAAAACCTCCTCCTTTCCATGAAGTCGGTTAAAAAATCAAGTAATATCCTGTATAAGTATATACTTAATTTGTCAATTTAGCATTCATGTTGTTTCATCTGACTTAGTTCCATCGTGTAAAGTACAGTAAGTAAAAGTACAATTTAAAGGAATGTAACATACAGAATTTTCCTATTTTTTTATTACTTTATAAATGTCTATACCGCAATCGGCTTTAACAGTATCGCAGTTAAAAAAGTCATATTTTTTTAGGTTTTTTTTACGTTTATTTATTCATAAAAATCATCATATGCCAGTTTACCTCTGCCAAACTGGAAACAGTTTGTTGGCAAGTACGCTCTTACACACCTTACATAATTTTATTACAGCTGCGTGCAGAAATGTTTTAGCTTTTCGGTAAAAAGTTGGAAAATTTATTTCAACAATATCAGTCCGAAGATGGCAATGTCACTTTTGACGATTGATCGGTGGGATATATTTTATTCGTCGAAGCTGACACTTGCCCAAACCTAGTGGCTGTCATGAACAGTCACATTCTTACATGCCACGACTGTTATTTTTAAGTCGTGTAACTGTTGAAACCGGTGCGGGATATCGTTAGTTGTAAAATTTTATTGGAGTACATTTCATGTTTTTAACTTGTTAAACGTGCCTAATTTTTGGTATTGAAATATTTAGACGCTTTATGTAAATAATTTTAATACTTTATAACCTATGTAAAGAGATAATAAAGATTTTTATTATTATATAAAAAAGGCTTTCGAAGATGCTTCAATTTGAAGACGTAGATATTTAGAGTTATTGACATCATCTGGTGCACAGAGCCTTTTAAGAGCTAAGAGGGGGATCCCACATAGGCCCTTTTGAGGGGTTTGCACGACGCAACAACGCACGTATAACGCACAGCGGCGACACGACTTCCGCGTGGCGGCGATGCAACGTCAGCGCGGCGTATACTCGATGTTCGGCCGCGCGCCGTGCGGACACTGTGTCAACGATGTGCGTGCTTTGGTAAGACGCTGTGCGTGCTTTGAAAAGATGCTGACGCTCGAAAGGCGCTAATATGGAGGGTCTCTAAGTTACATCCACAAACATAATGTCTAAATAGACGCCGCAAGTGCACCTAATCGCGTGCCCACTGTAATGTAAAAACGCTTAGTTGCTGCTATGCTTCAAAACGCGCCCGGCCGTCATCGTAATTAAACATAAAAAAAATTAATTAATTGCGGTCTCTCTGTGAATTCGCCGCGTGAAAGTCTGTTTTAACCTGATCCATCTTTTGTGCTTTCGAACTAATTACAGTGAAAAGTGGATAATGGCAAACGACAGACGTTATTATTTCACCTCTTGCTTAAAAAATTGATAACGTAAGGTGAATAGGCCAATTATCTAGTAATTCCTGACTAAACCACCGACGTGGGTATTCGTCTCAATGACTTCTGGAAGGTGCGAACGGAATGCGCCTGTTTGCGAAAGGATCGAGCGAGCCGCACGCATGCATTACGTAGTACGATCTACGTAAGTACGTGTGCTTTACGTTAATTCCCCAACTATGGATAAATATTATTAGTAAACACTAAATAATATCTGCCTGTCTAGATCAGTCCCAATAGGTATAGACTGTCACGTCTGTCCACTGTACTACGGTACTGATACGCTTTGACAAAATTCAACACAAAAACAAAACACTATGAATATTGATAGTGTTTTGTTTGGAACATAGTTTCTATGAATGTTCGTATCTGTGGATTAAAGTCGTTTGTTTAAACCCCATACAAAAGATCTTTAGCAATCACGTAGATAAATATATATGTACTTATATTAACATGCATTTGTGCGCATCCAGCGCACATGCAGCACGTTCGCGGCGCATTTGCCAGATCTGTACGCACTCTAACGTCATTATTCCAACATATACTCCAAAACTAGTCCAAAATAATATCACATTTCGTTGGTTATGTAGCGCGCTCACAACTCTGCCTTATACCAACAACTTTACTCACGAATTCCCAGGATTATTTCAATGATGAACTGAACATATCCTAAATATAACATACAAACACATTTACTATAAGAGCAATTTCACTTTAAGCGGGGCGAATGGGGAATCGCGATCGCAGTGGCTCGTGGTTTATGATAACATTAAAGGAGATGAAGATGTGTTAGCGTCCGGAGAGATATCGCACCTGTATTTATACCCTATCCTATATACCATAATGTCGACAATACCACCGAATGAACGTGAAAAGGAATAACTGCAACTTTATACGAGCGATTAAAAACTTAAAAAATAATATTATTCATTAGCCATTGGATGGTTATATATAATGTATGACCAAATTAGAGATAAGTACACATTATATCTCACATTAAAATGTGAAACACGAAAATATTGATAGTTATAAGAAATTAATAAAATATTCCTTTTAAATTTTTATTCTAGTAAAAATTACTTTGGCTTTTTACCTCAATAGCTCCGAAAGGCTTTCTTTCTTATTGGTTTTTGAAATTCCAACGTGACAATAGACAATTATCTACAGGATGTTAAAAAAAATAATAATAATAATAATAATAATAATAATATACAAATTCTACTACAGTGCCCACATACAAATATAATCTGTTATTGTCTATCAGGTGGAGAATTGTCTATCAACTTACGAGCCTCACGCCTGCGTAGTGGTCTACTCGGTCGTGGCCAGGAGCTCATTCACAAGGGCGGCTGAGATCCTCGCGTACCTATCCCGGGAACAGTTTACTGTCGAGAGAACAGTTGTGTTGGTCGGCAACAAAGCTGATTTGGCACGGGCAAGACAGGTTACTACTAACGGTGAGTATGGAATTTCCGTTGTTTTCGTTGCCAATGAAGAAGGAACTACTGAACTCCACAACGTGCATGAACCAGTATGGCAGATTGAAAACTGTACTCTCTCCTTAGAAAAGCATAAAGACCTTTACAAAGCAATTTGGCGTACTGAAAATTGTACCCTCTCCTTAGATTTACAAAGCAATTTCAAAAATAATGATATTGAAATAAACAAGGTGTTGTTTATGGTGATCATGTCACACTTGTTTCTTTATAACATATTCTAAGCCTATTAAAGGTTATGATTTCAGCAATCATTTTAAGTAATGTTTTTAGTCATTTTATGACTAATTTAAATCAAGTATCTTGAAAATAAAACTTGACGTTCATTGCATTGACTTACAAATAAATGGACGACGGGTCTAATACAAAAACCACGAAAAAAATGTCCCAAATCAAACTATTTAAACGTAGTGACATGTAAAGGAATATGAAAAAGCTAAAACGTTGAATTTAAATTGTAATGTCATCGCAGTACTGTCTAATTTTGCTTGCTTCGCTGTCAGTCGAACAAACGAAGACTAAAGCGTGAATGACGCTCTGTATACGATTTTAACGCCCTATAAGTTCGGACACTTTTTAGCGCGGAACCGACGTCCATATAATTGTAAGTCAATGGTTCATTGTATCAATTTCACATAAAAGCGTGCGATTTTTGTGACTAAGGCAGCATCTACAAAATAACAACTGTTTAGGGGAGAGGTCACAATAGTCAACAACTTTAATTTTTATATATAAGAGCCCTATTCACACGGCGTATTTTATACGCGCCGCAGACGCGCTGTAGTCGAGCGTATGTACCGCGCATTTTGATAAAAGATAGTTTATTTTTGTGTTGTTTGTTAATTTCAGTTAGTTTTTTGAAATGAACCAATTACATGAAATTATACGTGTAAACTCCAGTTGAGCTTATATGCTTCTTAGGAAATGAAACTATTTTTCCGGATTTAAATATTTGTTTATTCAAACAAACCGACGTTCCGGGCCCTTTACAGGTCCTATGGTCACGGTTGACACGGTTTACGTACAAGGGTACAAATTGAGTCAGTTCGCGTTGTTTAGTCCATAGATATTGGCAATTTCACTATCAATTCTCTTGACACACAATTTTTTTATAAATCTATGATAGCAATGACCAGCTTCGTCGGGGATTCATGAACGTTTTTTAAACAGTAATCATTTACTATAGGCATTGTCGCTTCCCCCGAACTCGATTTTAAGTTTCAAATAGAAATAATATTCAAGACTATGACACAAAAACTTTCCACCCACTTACCAAGTGAAGGGACGAACAAGTCGTTTGCTTGGTGATAAGCGACACTTCTGTCAATACTGCCATGAATTAACTAAAACGAGGCTATGTGACAAAATCATTTTTGAGATATCATAAAAACCATAACCCAGTTTTAGAACATTGAAATTGTTTAAAGATATTTTAGCTAAACATCACTAGGGTAAGTTTCGATGTATCCGATACGTAAACTAAGTTTAACTGTTTTGAAATAGAGAATTTTCAGCTTAATCTTGTGCTGTTTGAAACGGATATTTGACCATATGTCACCTAGCGGCGCTTTAATTAGTGGACGGCAGAGTAGCAGTTCCAGTGTCACTCAGACCTTTAAATCCCGAAGATCTGAAGAGCGCTGCCACAATACTCGTCATCCTGAAACATAAATTGACATGTCCCTGTAATTATTAATACAAACATCGAATACTAAGAAAAAATTCCTTCGATCCAACCGGGTTCGAACCGACATCTCCTAGCACACCGTGTCAGGAGTAATTTCACATAATAATTAATTGAATCATCAATTCAATAAAAATTTAAATACAATAAATAGCGACATATCTAGCCAGGGCTGGTAGCTGTAAAGGTATCTAACTGGGTGACGAAATACTTAAGATTTCTCATAGATGGCGCTACGGTTAAATAGTCGTTGAAAAAACCAAATGCAAAGTCACGATAACGCCGTGACTTAGTTAGTATAGCGTCTGGCACGAATCCGCCCGGATCGAAGGATTTTTTTCTGAGTATTCGATCTTTGTATTAATAATTATAACAAATAGTGGAGTAATTTCACTTGAAGAATAATTGAAATTCAATAAAAATTTAAATATGTCCCTATAATTTCTTCAGCACTCTTACCCTTTAAAATGGTGGCGTGATTTAGTTACGGGTAGCCCAAACCAGTCAACCTTGCGGGGAATACAAACGATGCCTTCCTTCGATTTGTGGACTGTATATGAATAAATACGTACGGTTGATTGGAACAAATAAGAGTAGGGAAGCTGGGAGCACAATACCCTTCAAAACCGGAACGCTGTAATGTGATTATTATTGCTGATTATTTTTTGTCATCAGAGGGGAAAGCCCTGGCGACATCGCGAGACTGCAAGTTCATAGAAACATCGTCGGGTATCCAGCACAATGTGGACGAACTACTGGTTGGCATTCTGAAGCAGATCCGGCTGAAGGAGAGTCGTGATAAGAAGTTGTCTAAGAAACAGAAACCTGTCAAGGTTTGTATTCTTCCTAAGCTATTGCTATATATATATATATACTATAAGCCACCTCGCATTTTTGTCGTAAAGGGCTAGAATACAAAAATAGTGTA